GGAATCCATTTATCGACAAGCAGCGAGTCCGGAAGTCGACGCAGCCTGGGAGGAACTGGGTACTGAACGTGAGCACAGCCATGCCCCGATATCGCACTTCGAGTCTGCACTTCGAAGTGGTCGCAGACACGGAATGTGGTTGGATATCGTTTCTAACCCTTCTCCTGCCTCTAGTCAAAGGCGTTGTCCTAACTGTCGACGAAGCCAAAAAGTCCGGGTTAGAATTGGATCGTGTCATGGTAGGAGAGGACTATGGAGGCCCCGGATATGTGGCATTTGTGGAAGTAACGCATCAAATACACTGCTTGGTAAGGAAGCCAACGTTCCGCGCTCGGACAAGATTCCAGCGCCTCAACACTGGAACTATCGCTGACCTAGACCCAGAACCTTCTACGCCGAGGCCTCTGGTTCAATTACGAGTACTACCAGTCCCACAACATAGGGGAATTCGCTGACGGTGATCGCATAGTCAAACTCCATATTGGTATGTGGGGAATACTTTCTTTATTCTCACTTCGATGGACCCCTTTATCTGTTGGTTTTCTATTGAGACCGGAAAACAAATCAACTGACCATCTCTCGTGCGTCTGTATTAGGGCACTGTCTCGACACACTTCGCCAGGCTCTCATGTGCAGCTCTGACACAGGCCTCCTCCCCTTCGTCTGGGTGGGCAACCCACCGAAACAATTCCCCGACTTTTTTCGTGAACACAAATGTCGAAACTTCGAGCCTATATTGGAATTTGCGAAGAGAAGAGAAGTCAAGGCGCTGGAACCTATGAAAGCGGTTCCTCATAAGGGGGCTTTGATTCTGGATGACTTTCCCTGACTCAAGACGGAATTGGGTCGGCTATGCACTTGGCAAATATTTCCAGTTGAAATACGTTTTCTTTCTATATCGGATCCGTGGTATGGTTGGATTCACATTCGCAAGTCCTGACACCCTAGAGGCGGATTATCGGTTCGACAAATCACACCCTAAGTCTCTAGGCTATATTGCCTTGAGGTTGAGTGGCCGGGGGAACGATATTTTAGAAAGAGAAGTCTGCAAGCCTTTTGGGTTGGGGCGGGGGGCAGCCAAGTCACAGGAATACTACCCACCATGGCCAACGGTCGGATTGAGCGGTCGAGCTGTACTATGGGTGAATATCAAGGACGAACGCATTTTAGAAATTCTGTAGTTCAGCATATGAAATAGTGGCTCTTGAGCTGACAGGAAAGAGGGAGAAAAAGAGAAGGATCACAGAACAATCTTACATAGAAAAATACATATTCGTCGATAAGAATATGGCACAGGTATTCAGCAATGAAACTTAGCTTTGCCGAGTTCCATTCGAAGGACTGCGAAATCAATGAGATGTCTGAGGTGGCGCCGAATCCGTTTGCTTTGCACAGGATCGCCTGTGCTACTGTCGATAGTATTCTGCCTCGCAGAGGACCTTAATTGAATCTTCAAGGTTGCCAATCGATATGGGAAGGTCTTCATCATCGGGCCAGTAAAATAGTCATCAGATTGTGTTGTCAAGGCTCTGCAGCATGTATGTTATGCGCTATAGATGTATCTGGCGAAATACATTGTAGACCGCAATCTGCCTCCTGTGTCCACCCCCAGATTGAGTCATGATGGGGGACTTCTCCATCCAATTATCGCCGTGTGTCTTATCGGACGCCATCGCTAAGTCGTGCAGTCGATCGCGAGCACAGCAGCGGCATGCCTGCAATTTGCTACGCACCCGTCTGGTAACGCGGCGAAAATGACAGGTGAAAGGCTGGCTCGGGCAACCCGGGTTATTGACGGCAGTAACTGGCAGTTCTAGGTAAGCGTGGGACGAGTTCTCATACTGGGTATACCTCGTTCTGTGTAGCCTTGTTAAAAGATTGTGGTCACTTAATTCCCACTCATTCCCACGGCCTCTATTGCCAGCTCAGCGTTTTAGCGTTGTGGCACAAAGCGCAGATCAGGTACCGCAGACATTGTGTGTATCTAGTTGGGAGGCTAAGCGAATGCATCGTCAACCAGGGGTCTTGAACTTCAACAGCAGCCGCTGCCGCCGCCCGTCCAATGATTGCATGCTTCTCGGTCGCTCACAAAGTCGAGCGGTCAGAGGGTCTCATCTAAACCTTCTGTGTAGGTGTGAGGGAGAAGGTCCAGCACCGGTTTGTCATCAGCGCCTAATTTCGCAGCTGCTAAAGGTTGCTGGCATATCAAGCACATGGCGCGAGTAGCCGAAGTGATTGGGTTCGATACCGTATCCTCGTCAGCAAGGCGCTGAATCCGGACGCAGGAAGATGCTTGGGGGGTGAAATGGCCATCTGGTGTCAGGCTGCATGGAGCAAAGGCAAGGCAAGCACCTGAGGAATGATGGATTGAAGTACATAAGTGCAGAGATAGCTTGGTAAGAACTCAGTTGGGATGTTGGTAACTGAGTACGAGGATAATAAACAAGTGAGCAAGTTGGTGGAGAATGGACGATGGATCAACGCGGCAGCGCCCCCACCTAGGCACAGACTAGGTAGGTGCTGGTAATAGGTAGTAATACATAATATTGTAGGCGCTACGTAACTGCCAGGCAACTAAACTTAGGTGCGGACTCGTAGGTACCTAGGGGGGAAGTACGCAAACAGCCCCCACTAAAAAGAATGTCGAGAGAATGTTTTCCGCCCGCAAGCGGCAGGTTGGTTGTGGTGGCGCGCCTCGTCTAGTTGAAAGCTTTCTTTCTTGCGTCCTTCTACTCTCCAATTGCGCCATCGACCTCGAGTCTCCAGACCAGGTACCGAGTATTGTACGAGTCATCAATCCTTCCTCCCCCTCCCCAATGTTCTTGTGTATCTCGTAGAGTTCTACCGAGTACTGACTTTCTCTAGCGGTCTGTTCTTGAAACTGGCCAATCCTTCTTGTCTGCGCTCTCTCAATCTCTCAACACCACCGCAAAACCTTATCTCACTTGGACCGTTTCTTTTTCTTTCTCTCTGCAGGCTAGCAAATCGACTCTGGCCGAAACCCACTTCTTTTCTCGCCGATCATCAGCCAGGCTTCCTTTCCATTGACCTCCTTCGCTGATAGGCACAAAACGGGCACTGCAGCATTGGTACGCCTGTCCAAACTCCTGAGTCGGGAGGCCAAAAAAGCCCAAAGTCTGGCCCACCAACCTTCCGTATCCTGGTCTTCTTCCTCCACTCCGTTGCCGGCATTTCTCCTCCATTGTCGCAATGACAGCGATAAGTCGATCGGGAAAATACAATTGATATCCTCCTCTCTGTCACTTGTCCATTATTTCCCACCCAGACTGGAAGTCCACCTTGGTCGTGCACACCTCCACCCTTTCTACTGCCTCTTTCGCAAAGTCTATGGCGTCATGTCATTAACATACTCTGATCGCGATCCGGAGTGGCCGTCTGATTTACGCTTTATCGATCGCTGATCCACGACCCTGGTGATGGTGAGATTGGACACTCGCATTCCAGAACCATCATCAGAACAGATTATATCTTGAATCAACTATCGAACCGAACCAAAGAATTGTCCTCAATTCTATCGAGACTGGGTTGTGGCAGATTTGGCCCTCGGCATTTTCCTTTTGTTTTCCACGACACGAAAGGCTAAGCCCTGCACTTGAAAATGGCCTACACTCTGCAGGCCTCTCTTCCGACGCCACTCACGCCTTCTATGCCACTATATGGTCCGCTTTCTGAGCAAATCGAGGCCTTACCAATTACACCTCCGGAGATTCCGGCGAGCTTTGATGAGAAGACGTTCAAACCAGACAGCCGAACAATAAAGAAGGCTTTGCACGTGCTCGCCACCGAGCGACAGGCACTCTCCCATCTCGAGGAACTATACACCAATTCTGCGGAGGTCCAGGATTCCCTTCTTCGGACCATCCGACAAATCATTCTTTCAGAGACTAGGCATGGAAAGACCATCTTCACGGGCGTTGGCAAGTCTGGCCATATTGCAAAGAAACTTGTCGCCACTTTTGTATCGCTGGGAATCCATGCAATATTCCTTCACCCGGTTGAGGCTCTCCACGGGGACCTGGGAATCGTTCGGCCCAATGACACGGTTATCATGATTACATTTTCTGGAAGGACGCCCGAACTCTTAGCCCTCCTTCCACATATAGAATTCTGTGTCCCACTAATCGTCATGACGGCACACCTGACTCCAACCACTTGTCCTTTGTTGTCGCATGCGGTAAGACAGGGCTCGACGAATATACTTCTACCGACTACCATTCATGAGTCTGAGATCTCGTCGTTCGGGGTGTCAGCTCCAACGACCTCGACAACCATCACCCTGGCACTGGGCGACAGCCTGGCCCTTGCCGTCGCTGATGAACTTCATGCCGCTGCTGGCCTCCAGACACCGGCCATTTTTGCAGCAAATCACCCTGGTGGTGCAATTGGCGCTGCCTTGAAGACCTCCGCTCCTAACACGCCCAGAATGTCTGACCTGGCGACTGCAGTGTCGCAAGTCCCAATTGCGGTGGCACAACCAAGTCGTCCGCTCTTGTGCTTGGATGTGCTTGTAGCTGCCGTAAGGTCACCCCGCGGTTTCGTCCGGACCTCTCAGACTCATATGATAGGCCCAAGGAGAATTCAGAACCTACGAGATCCCTCTGCATCTATTTCAGCTGTGTCGGATGGGTGCGGCAGAGTGGAAGTCGAGAAGACAGACTGGATATCTGTTTTGAGCTCAACCACAGTCGAAGAGTGCAAAAGATGGATTCACCAGATGCGGGACGAGGGATCTGGTCGTGGCAAAGAATTCCTCAAGCGAGGCACTTTGCTCGGGATTGTCGAGCATAACGAGGTGACGGGTGTTGTCGAGATAGAGGATGTCATGGGCGAAGACTTTACTTAATTTTTGCACGCTTCCCAGCTTTTCATTTGAGGGAAATCATGACCGGATATTATAGAACTCTTGCACAAGGGTGGCCAGCAAGTGATTGATTTGAATGCCAATGTCGTATGCTCCTAGTCAGGCAACATTATGGGTTTCACGAATACCACTCATCTTCTTCCTCTTCATCTTCTTCACCCTCGTCGTCTGGTCTGTCCACGCGACTTTCAGCTGCATCCTGTCCAGCAGTGTCAGCAGCTATCGCATTCACACCCTTGCCCGTATCCCTTCCAGTCGTAACACCGCTTCTGAGCGCATCCCTCTTCTCTCGAAGTCTTCGAATCCGCTCTTCCATTTCCTCCATGAGATCGAATTCTTCTTCTATCCTTCTCTCTTCGTCCTCCTTTTCGTCTTCTGCCTCAGTCTCTAGCTTCCTCCGCCTGTCTTCGTCTTTTTGGGTTTTGAGCTGAGCGGTTGTGAGCGGTGCTGCAGTGATTGTCGCCGAGGAGTAGTTCGGTGTGGCCGCGGCTAATGGTGCAACCTCGCGCTCGAAGGCGGCCCATTCGTCTTCGTCTACTGTAGGTGGTTGGGACGAGCCATTCGATGGCGGTGGAGCATTGTCTGCTGCTGGCGCAGGTGGTGTCGGCTGCTCTACTTTCCATCCAGCACCCTCGCCTTGTGCAGGCAGCGCTCTTGTCTGTATACTGCCTGGTTCTCCTAGTTCTCCTCCCTCCACGACAGCAACACTCTCTGGCCGCGACTTGGGCTTCTTCCGCGCATCGAGGTCCGCTTCGTCACGCTCTTCCGATGCATCATCGTCAACATCTTCAATCTTCCTCTTAACTCCCTTGCCTGCATTAGTGACGACGTTTGCAGTGGCGTTCTCTTGTGCAGCAGCTTGGGCGGCGTTTCTCCTGTGATTTGCGCTCTTGAGGTGCCCTTCCCAGAGGGCCTCGGACTTGACGTTCAGGTTGCAGACCGTACAGATTAGCATACCGGATTTAGAGTAGGAGAGGTGAGGGTGAGAGATTCTACGAGCCTGCCGCTCTGCGGCGAGGAGGGCTCGGACGTCGGCCATAGTTGTACAGAGCACCCCCGGACTTCTATTCAGTCCCTCAATGAAAGATGCTGGAGGAGGTGAAGGAGACGACCTGCGTGCTTCGGGAGAAAAGGTTTCAAGGCCTCAGACTTGTCACCGAGGCGATCAAACCACGAGATTCAAGAACTGGTGGATCTTGGGGCACCTAGTTCGGTTACGTCAACCAGAGTTGTCGCCGCTTTTACATCGAATAGTGGCTAGTACCGCTACCTCGTACTTCACTGCGCCTCCGCTTCCCTTGGCAGTGGTGTTGGTGGTGTCGCAGCGCAGACTTCGAGGAGTTGCCACTTTCACGATCGGCCGCCCGCACGGCATCGCACTCCTCTCTCCTATCTCCATATTCTCCTCACAACTTCAACTTGGGATACTCGTTCACTTTGTTGTTCATCGCGCACTATCTGCCATAGGACTGTGGCGGGGTGACGTTGGCACAGTTCTCTAGTCTACTCGAATCTGAAGGCACTTCCACTGGTCTCGTGGACACTGTCTCTGCTACCCCAAACTTGTCGTAGATCGCGATATTAGACGTGGTTGATGACAAGCACCCACGTCCTGCGTGTCTCGTGTACATTGTAGCAGCTAGCGACACGTCGTTGTCGTCGCCATGGCTGGTAAGCATTGCCGTTATCTTAGCCGCACTCGCTGTGTGCCCCATCTGTTGCGCTTTACTGACGCAGTCACAGAAGAACCTCGACGGTCAGGTCGCGCAACCAAAGGCCAATACTCCAAAGATCGCGACATCGCTGAGGGCGTCCCTACGAAGAAAAAGGACAAAGGAAAGGCCACCAAGGCCAAGGCAGCAGAGCAAGATGAGAGTGAAGAAATCATCCGCTGTGTCTGCGGCACCTACGAAGAGGAGGAAGATGTCCCTCGGGCTATGATCTGCTGCGACAACTGCTCGGCGTGGCAGCATAACAGCTGCATGGGTCTCCCGGAAGACTATGAACCTCCACAGTACTTCTGCGAACAGTGTCGCCCCGAGGATCACCAGGAATTGGTAGCAGCCATCGCGCGTGGAGAGAAACCGTGGGAAGAAGCAGCCCGACAGAAAGAGGCTGCTGAGGCCGGGAAAGGGAAGAAGAAAGGAGGCCGAAAGGGACGGAAATCGGGTGCTGCTCGGACGAGCGAGGTCGTGTCTCGCACATCTCAAGATGTTGATGAGACTCCAGCGCACACTCCCGCGGCAGGACAGAAGCGCAAACTAGAAGAGTCGCCGTCTGTTCCAGAAGTAAAGGTACGATATATCTCGCAAGTCAACAAGGACCTGCTAACATGTCACTAGAACAAGAAAGCGCGAGGCACACCGGCTGCTGACACCAATGGCACCAAAGCAGTCAAGGTTGAGACTCCTTCCAGGCAGGCGTCCAGATCAGAACCTGTTTCGGCGGTTGCAGTGGACGTAAAGGAACTTACAAATAAATCGAGGAGTCAGGCTGCGTCCACGTTGATCAAGCTCATAGAACAGCAAATCAAAGAAGCCGTAAAGCAAGGCGACTACACTGTTCCCCCCGGCACGTCCGCCACAGAAGTTGCAAATCAGATTGGTCTCCGTACGGAACATGCCCTGTATCACGTCCAGGTCGGCGGGAACGGCGACCCCAACGAGTCCTACAAGAACCAACTGCGGGCGATAACCTTCAACGTTAAGAAGAACCGCGCATTAGGTGTGCGGTTACTGAATGGGGATCTTCTCCCTCACACCCTCGCGTCGATGGATGCGAAGGATATGGCAAGCGAGGAGCAGAAGAAAAAAGACGCAGCTGTCATGAAAGAGTTGGAGAAACAACATACCATCGTGGAAGAGCAGGGCCCGAGAATCAGACGAACACACAAGGGTGAGGAGTACGTGGACGAGTCAAGGCAGGTCGCGGCAGAGTCTGCGACTTCAAATGCTCCCGTACGTAAAGCTAGTGTCGCAGAACAAGACGGGGATGCAAAGAGCCCAGGTGTGAGAAGCCCATGCGAGGCCCCAGCCGCTCCCGGCAAAGGAATCAAACCGAGACCATCCGTCGATACCACCCGACGACAATCGTCGGCTAATTTCGATATTGACAAAGTCTGGTCAAACGTCCAAGGTTCGCCTGATGGCGACGGTCAGCGATTTGGCGAACTACCACAAACGACGTCGCCAACCGTCGCTGTCCGTGAACCCATTGCTCCAGGGACCAAGGCAGACGCAGATATTGACGAACTGCTTAAAGACGAAGAGGCCGAGTCACCCCCCTATTCACCCAAGGAATCTGCTGAAGCCGATGGTGTTGTTTGGCGAGGCATCGTCAACGGCAACAACCTAGGCCGGTTCCACGCCGTAGCAAGATATGCAGCTGGGGCCACTCCAGAGGCCGACACGCTGCGCATGACCTACGACCAGATCATCCCGCCTGAGATCGACCTAGGAGGTCGAATCCAGCCCAGTCGAGCGGAAGAATACCTTTGTGGCTTGGAGTACAGCAGTACGTCTGATCTGGTCATTGTGTGCATGCCACAACCCACAAACTCGCATGATCAGGAGCAATTTGACAGGTTCTTCCAATACTTCAAGAACAAAAATCGCTTTGGCGTAGGGATCCAACACACAAATCCAGCAATCAAAGACATCTACTTGATCCCACTGGACAAGGGTCAAGAAATGCCTACGTTCGTCAAAAAACTCGAGACGGATTTTCCAGATCCCGCCCAGGAGAAAATGCTGCTGGTCCCGATCGTCATCAAGAACAGTGAGTTATCGCATAACACCCAGGCGACCTTGATTGATGGGACATCTGCTACGGCTGCTAGTCCAGCGGTAGGAGGGGGGCCAATAGCTCAGACTCCCATCACACCTCACGAAGGGAGCTTCCCTTACAGTCAGTCTCCGATGCCGAATCAACATGGAGTGAATGGTACGCCTCAACCTCAACAGGGCCTTGGTGTGACACCAGCCTTTACCACACCAACTCCTTCATCCTCATTACCACAACCTCATCAACAGCCATCCCAACAAACACTGCAGCTCCCACCTCCCCCGAACCCTGCCATGGTCATCGCCCAGAAAGTTCTTGGTCCTCAATTAGCGTCTTCTCCTTCAGTCGTGCAGTTATGCGAGCAAGTACCCACGGCCGCGGAAGGCGAGTTTTTAGTGGTCAAGAAATGTCTCGAGCAGAACCCTGAAGCACAGAGCAGCTTAGGGGTGTTGACGGGGATGTTGCAGGATGTTATGGCACAAACACGTGGAGGTGACAGTGGTGGTACGGCGGATGCATAAGGACAGATGGCTAAGCGGCAAAAGGAAAAGGGTGACAGAAGGTCTGTATTGGACGAGCTGAAGAGTTTGGATAGGGTGTAGGAGACTAGAAGAAGAGAGACCATGGCTGTTTGACGTAAGGATAGCAGAGCGACGAGAGGATTGATACCCCATATGAAGCGAGCAGTGGGAAAGACGCGATGCAATTGTAAATGCACCAGGCGTCCAAGTGATGGAACGTCCTCACGGGCACAGCTAGTCTTGCTCGAGTCTCCGGAATCAATGTAGCCAGGGCTCAAGGCGTTGGTGAAGGAAGGCCCATTGCCAGGCATCCGACGTTTACCCAAGGACTTGACAGACACGTACAATATTACGGAGTACTAGGATTTCAAGGCGCCAGGGGGTCAGGCAGGTGTTGTTTTTTGATGAGTTATTCATCCACTTCCGTCGTAGCCCGTGTAGAATAGAATGAAAAATGCAGAATGGTAGTTTTGCACAATGCCCTACGTATTGTATGTAAACCGATCCTTGATCCTTGATTCTTGGTTTTTGATGAATAGTACTCCGATCTCCGCATACCTAGGGTTTTTGTCTCCCGCCGGAGCTGTGGCGCTTGCAGCATGTACTCGCCATTTAGAGTATATACTTGGGTGTGTAAGGGCGCAAGAGGGCAATAAGATGGAGTCGGGCTGAGCGATTACGGAGGTACTGCACGTAGAGACCGTCAGGGAACAAGACTGATTGAGATTGACTGAGATGGGCCCCTAAGGCCCGAGATCGAGACTGAGACTTGAGACCTGGCGCTGAGATCCAGGAGTGCCCTGTGTTCGGCTAAGAAAAGGCCAGTGGGCCTCCTGCCTGCCTTCCCACTTCTCTAAAATCACACAGACGGTACAGGCTGTATACTCCCTCGGTCAGAGCGTTTCCAAGAAGGTCCTCAAGAGCTCGTCCCTCCTGGTAGGTTCCAAGATGTGGAACCTGACATCCCTCAGGACAGCGTCCGGCAAAGCGTCCAGGGCAACTGAACTATCCTTGTCCCTACCCTTGTCAAATTTAGCCCGATCGACGCTCTTGATCAGGCTCACGAATTCCTTCCTCCTCCCCGCGTCGCCTAGTCTCAACTTGGCCACGAAGTCGCGGTAGAGCTTCTCGCGGTCCTTGTCCTGTAACTCCCGGTCCTGCATCTCGGGACTCTTTTTGAATTTGCGCCGGAATTCCGGCCAGTATAGTTTCGGCGTGGCGTGTTTTTGCAGAAACCGCAGGTACTCGACCTTTGCGTCCTTCTTGCTCTCTTTCGCGGACATTGAGGCCTTGAAGGCTTGCAATTCTGCGATTCGGTCCTTAGACCATGCCCCGAAAGCCTCTTTGCGTGACGAGGTGTTTGGTAACGCGACGTAACGGGGATCTTCTACTAGAGCGGTGTCTTCGATCAGTTTTTCGAATGTGGAGTAGGGTGAGATGCCGGAGTCGTCGAGGAGCGAGCGGAAAAGTGCGATATTGTCCTGCGCGGTTAGAGGGAGGCCTTCGTCTTCGTCTTCTTCTTCCGGGTTCTCTCCTTCTCCATCACCATGCATGTGATCTCGGTCCTCGTCATAGCCGTCATCACCCTCCATCTGTGCAAGTTGCCAAGCTATGTCGTCCTCATTGAATTCCACGGGTCCAGTGGGCGGAGGGATTTCACCTCCAGTCTCGTCGGAGAGACGAGGCCGTTTTGACGGCTCATTAATTCCTTCGGCCTCTTCATCTGTCACTTCGA